TATCGAATAAATGTCTTTTTAATTTTGGTTTTGTTTGGTCTTTTGTTTGTGGGTTTGTTTTTGAGAAGTGGAGGAAGTGGATGAGAATAGTAGTATCAAGAGTTCAAAGATGCAACATGAAGAGCATGAACTCCATAGTCATGATTTAGAAAGATCATTATTATTTTTTTCTTTGTGCTGCTAAATCTAGAATAATGTTAAAATGATCTTCTAAAGTATTTCACCGTTTTATCTTGATCTTTCTGGGGGGAAAAAAAAGACAGTTAAGGACACTTATTGGTTTAATGAGACTTGATTTTATGCTTGTAATAAGTGAAAAATTTGAGATGATTGGACAACTGATGTAGTTAAATATATTTTGTAAAGTTTTTGAGTCATCGGTTGAACCCATTTATGAGCTCTTTTGGTAGAATTCTTGGCTTGTTACATGATTTTGGATTTACTATTATATTTGCCAGGTGACACAATAAATGTAGGTTGTGAAATTCAGATTAAATGTACTTTTAAAAGACAAGCTAAGTAAGTGTCTTATTCTACAGTTCAGTTATTATAAAGAGATTACTTACTGTATATATGTATATTGGTGTTTTCTTCACTATCTAGTAAACTCTACATCAAGCTTTTCATGTATTTTGGAGCAATTTCTTAGTTAACTCACTTTTCTTTCTTTCAAAGAATGCTTCTCCCACTGCTCTTTGAGAACATGTGCCAAAAATTAAAGTCTAGGGTAGAGATTGCCTTATTCTGTTGAGTTATAATGGTTGGTAGAGGTATGTCAATTGGATTTGACATTTTCGTACTGAGTCATCGGTGTGTTTCCTGAATTGACAGTATTTAGGAAGTAAGGAAGAAGAAAAGGATGGCATAGGTGCCAGTTTCCTGTTGTTGATACTGCTCTTACCAGATCTGTTGAGCAACTGGAGAATAAGAACAGGCAGATGGAGCTGCATTTTTTTCTCCCTGGCCTCATTCATGATTCTGTTGGTTATTAATTGGTGGCACTTTATGGAGCAGTTAGGATTTAGAGGCCCTTGCCAACTTAAAGTTTAGTTTTTAGTATTTAGAGTTTTATGCACAGTAATACTAGCTTTGATTCTGGACATGTATATGTTGGCATGAAAATGTGTCTTTTGCCAAAAAGTTTTGAGGTAGTCAGAATCAAGATTTTTCAGTCCTAGAGATAATTTCTGTTCCAGTGGATCTTGTATTGAGATGCTAAGCTCCTTGCTCAGATCGAACACTCATTTCTTCATTCAGCAGATCTTGACTTGAGGGGATGCTGTTAAGCACTGTGTATGCTTATGGAGCTAAAAAAGTTTGTAAGACCTAAAGCAGTTTGTTTAGTGAAGGCAGCATTTTTGCAAATGAATAATTCTAAAAGAGTGTTCTAAGTGTTACTTATAGTAGTGGTTGTAAGAAGTACCTCCCTTTCCACTCATTTTGGGCTGCTGTCTCCCTTGCATTCTGACTTGTCTGTAAGTTGTTTTCACATTTTTAGAATGCTACCTCAAGGCCTTTGTACATGCAGTTTCCTTCTGCCTAGGAAACTCTAAAATTTTTTTGCCTGATTAGTTTTACCTGTCTTCTAGTTTCTGTTTAAATGTGTTTTCAGGGGAAATGATTTTCCCTGTTCCTTCCAGATTAGGTTAGACTTGACGTTTATACATGTAAACACACCCTGAATGTTTTATTACACTTACCACAATTGTAATTAAACATTTTTTGAATATTTATTGGATAAGCTATATCCCTTTTGGATTATATCTGTAAGAGAGAAGAAACCTTGTCTGTCTTGTTTTGGTTTATATCCCTAATCCCTCCACACAATGTGGTAGGTAAATGTAACTCAGCAAGTATCTTTTGAATGAATGAATGTAAATGAGCACAGAGCCAAGGGTATGCAGCAAGGTATATGGAAGAGAGTGTACATATGGGCATGTGGAATGACTTTCTTGGGAAAGATTCACAGAAGGAGCCTTGTTTGAGCTAGATTCTGAAGGTGAAGTGGGATTTCAGATGGAGAAGGATTAAAGGACATAGTCTGTAAGGTGCAGGTATATAAAAGAACATAAGAAGTTTTCATGTGGCCTTTTTTTAGTAAGTTTTCTTTAAGCACGGTCAGATTTGGGGGTGGCAGGTCAGAGGAAGAACTAGAATGGTGAGAGATTTCAGGCAAGTCACTTAGTTATAACAGCTGAAACAAGAGTATAGGATGTCTTGAACTCAGTGTCAGTGTATCATAAGTCGGGGTATGGGGCAGGAAACAGAACCACTGTAGCTATTCTAAGGAATAGGATGCTTATAACATCATGGAAGGGCTGCAGGAACAAAAGTCAGGGAACCACCGCTGGACTACTTTCAAGGCTACATAATATTGCCATTGCTACCAACACCTCCGCTGCTGTGGCTGCTTCTTACCCATGAGACTGGTAAGCTGATTGGAGAACCATTACTGGTTACTGCAGTCGTTCAGTGTTTACTAGACATTTTTGTCAGTTGCCTTACTGTAGGAAGATGGTCTTTGCTACACTTGTGCCTTCCATGTGCAAAAATTTGCAGACTTACGTTCAACACCTTGCCTTCAAGGCAGTCTTTTAGCTTTCTAACCTCTTCAGATAGTAGAAAGGTTAAATGGAACTTGTAAGACCCAATCCCTGAGTCTGCTACAGGCAGTGAGGATGGAGATCATTTTTTAAGTGTTTGATATTTAAGAGTTCTTATGTAAACTTACTTTAAATTAATTCATACTAAAAAGTTCACCTTGAGGAACTGGTGTTTATGACGATGTTGATGCTTATAGGACAAATTGATGTAATCTAAGATCTGTGACTGTAATTCATCTAAAGAGACCTGCCAATCTAAAAGTTCTCTCACAATGCTAAACTTCAGCCTGATTAGTCCTTTGTTCTGGTAATCCTCCTACCTCGAGGTTTTTCCTGATGATTATGCATGATTATGCTCAGAGTCCTGGTGTCAGAGCTGGGATAGGAACCACTGGTCTCTATCTGATTTATCAGTTTAAAACTTGGCCTGCATGTGGACCTCCTTTTTTCTCTCTTCCAGTTCTTCTTTTTCTTTTTTTAAAGATTAAAATATTCTTTTATTACTTGATTTCATTAATTGTAGAAATGTATCTCCTTAATCCTTGCTGTAAAACATATATAGAGTACCCTAAAAAAATGTATACACACTTTGCATGATTATAAAGTCAGTGTTTATTACCATACAGTTCATTTTCAAAATTTAAAAGAATCTACAGAAGTGAAGAATTTTTCTTGTCAATGCCTGTTTTCAAACTGTTGGTCGTTTTGGTCCAGGCACTGCTGATAACTAGAAGCAATGGAATCGCAAACATCAAGAATCATTTTGTTCAGTATTTGTGTGCCCTCAATTTGTCGACTATTGCTGGTTTTGTACTATAAGGTTTATCTTTTGTGAGTTCCCATAAAAAAGTCTAGTGAGTAAATTTTCTTTGTTCAAGGCTTAGTCTGGCTTCACCCATTATTTCCAATCAGTTAAACCTGAAAAGGAGTGAAAATTAAGTGAGTTGTCAGCTGTTGAAGTGTGTATACATGTTTTTGGGACACCCTGTATATAACCCTTATTGACCTATGAGGATTTGAACCTGTCTTTAAGGGAAAGTCAAATGTGACATTGTAATCATACACCTTATAAACTCAAGTGTTTTCCTGCTGCTGCTGCTACTACTAGTCTTTTCACTGCATGAAATCAACTGATTTTTCCTTCCATTTCTCAATAGAAGATCAAAGAACCTGTTTAATTGGTAATTATCAAAAGTGTTGACTAACTGCCTTACATTCTGACCACTGTGAAGAATTGATTTAACAGATGTAATTTTTTTGGCAAATCAATATTTTCTGCCAAGATTAGGTACCATGTCAGGTACTGTTGTGTGTGCTAAAAAATTTTGGTAAAAAAACTAGTTAGGGATCTCAGTGGACATGAAACAATGATCACTTAAAATATAATCTATATGTAGGCTGTAGATTCATTAAATTTAGCAATGGGAGAGCTTAGTGTGACCTGGAGATGATAGAACCTTAAGGTTGGAAGTTAAAAAAAATCAACTAATATCACATATATACATATAAGTTTTATAGTGCTTTCTTCTTTCTAGGCACTGTTGTAAACACTTCGCATATATTAATTTAATCCTCAAAACAATTTTTTGAGATAGGTACTATTATCCCATCTTACAAACAAGTAAACTGAGGCACACAGAGCTTAAGTAGCTTTCCCAAGGTTATACAGCTAGGAAATGATAGAGCCAGACATTTTTTTCATTAAAAGAAATTTTGTTTTGAATGGCTACTATATTTCAGGCACTTTTCTAGGAGCTGGGAACAGGTAGATAAGGGCTATGCTCTAAAGGATCTACTAGTTTTATTGGTCTGTTGATCTACTAGTCAGTTGGAAGCAGGCCTGATTTGCAAGGTTGGCTCTTGGCTGCCATCAGGGAACTTGAATTTGGGGAAGGTCTCACCACCCTAAGTATTAAGTCAGTTACCTAAACTATTTATACGAAGTACAAAGTGTGGTTTATGCTGAACACCTGCTTTCCTTCTGGGACTCTGAAATTTGCATATGTGCTAGGCAAGGGTGTCTGTATGATCAGACCCCCTCCCCCTCTCCAGGCAATAAAAGCCATAGGCACGAAGTTTCTAATGAGCTTAATTGGTTGTTAACATGTCATACTTGTCAGAATTCTTTGCTGGGAGAATTAAGTGAGTTCCGTGCAACTCCGCTTGAAGGGTATACACCTGGATGTTTGTGCCTGTTTGGTCTTGGATTTCAGTCCATGCATCATTTCCCTTTGCTGATTATCCTTGGTATCCTGCTCTAATAAATTATAGCCATGAGTACAACTGTATATTGAATTTTGTGAGTCCTCTTAGCAAATTACTGAACCTGAGGGTGGTTTTGGGAATCTCCCAAAGTAGTTGATAATATATATTTTCACCCTTTATATTGTACAGGACATGTTGGAGTCTCAGCTAGCTCTAGAACCTAACCTACTATCAAGGGTACAGCCCAGAGGAGCAGGTATGAGAATTAGAGGAAATTATAGTCAGAATTTGAACCCAGGAGATCTATCTACAGTGTCAGCGCTGTTAACCGCATGTTCCATGGCATGAAGGATGAAACATGCTTTTGCAGTTGAAATTTTGTGATAGCAGAGGTTATTGCTGGGAAGAGAGTATCACCTTCAAGCTGACTTAATCTATTTCTCAGAGAGATTATTTCCAAATGTATTTCCATATGGACAGTGTCTTTGTTTTAACTTATCTCTGCATTTAATAGTAGAACCCCCATAACTTCAAAATACTAATATAAACAGAATAGAACATTTTTTTCTAATCACTGAACTATTCTACAAATTGATTGAATCTGTAGGTGAATCTTTTAGTGGTTTTTGTTTGTTTTTTGTCTTCCTTATAACTTTTTTGTTTTTTTCTGCAGTTATGTCCTTAGGTCAGGTACTAGTCATCTACCCTAGTTTTTTAAACCATAGAAACATGATAGAATTGGAAGAGCACTGGCCTGGGTTAAGTTAGTAAAGTTAGGTTTGAGTTCAGGCTTTGCCTCTAAGTTGTTTGGTGACCAGTTGTCCCTATACTCATTAAGCCTTACAGCAAAGAGTTACAGTAAAACCTTGATATAACGGACTAATTTGGGATGAGGGGGTGTCCGTTAAAGCTGAAAGTTCGTTATATGATAAAGTAGGTCTAAAGTATGTTAAAAAATTGTCAAATTAGTTACCTTACCTGTTTTTCCTTATGTAGACAACATTTGTGTAATTAAGTATGTATGAAAAGTTTAATTTCACAGAAAAGTTTTCTGTATGTATTACTAATGTAATTTTAAATTTATACTGACTAGGTCTAGTAAATGCATGCATTCACCAGTCTCAGCAATAAGCAAATGCGTGCAGCTGGGGCGTGGCATAGCACACGTGGGAACATCAGCCAGCATGTGTTCAAACTGATGCTAAAGTCACACCATGCAACAATAGAACTAATTACTGCATGCAGTACAGTGTGATCACGTGGTAATCATTAAATTGTTTATGAGTAGTGACTCTTGGATTTAAATATGTGGACTATAGTGGTAGATATGCAATATTTAGTTATGTTGGCGAAATTACCAGTGTTTCTTTCCCAACATATGGTCTGGTCTGTTTGCTAAAATTTGTTAAAAAGTAACAGTGAATTAATAACAAACAAAAAAACCCTTTTAACTTAATTATAAGCAAATCTTGGTTAAACACACTTTAAAATTAATAGGATGTTAATTTTCACATATGACATATGGACTGGAAATTTTTTCTGTTAAATCTGAAGTTCTTTAAATCAAGGTCCAAAAAATGGAGGGTTTACTGTATTTCAACTCTGATGTGAGCTGTATTCTTTTCTAAACCCCATGCATCATGTCACTTCTGTGTCAGTATTGAATGTAGTTATGTTAACTCTGAATGGCATTTAGCTATAGTACAATACAGAAATGATTTTTAAAAATATTTCACATAAAACAGAGCTTAGATAAGATACTGTTGGAAATATGTGCTAATTTCATGCCCACATATATTTTGAATGGTAAATGTGAGGGTTTTGAGGATCCAAAAAGGAGAGAATTATAAGCTTTTTAGTAATTCTTCTTTCTCTGAGCCCTCATGTGCCCCCCCCCCGACTCTCCCAGCAATTTTTGGTTTCCATTTCACAAGAGATCCAAGTGACTGCTTTTAGGAGTGACTGATAATAGATCTTCAGAGGTCTGCCATTGATCTTTTGTAAAGAGTGCATTTCAAGGACCAGTGATCACATGAAATTCAAACTTAAAAAGAAAATAAAGGGGATTTTGAAGATTCTGTGGGAAATCATATGTAAGATAGCTTTATCTTCCAATATAAGAAAATTTTAAATGAATCTGTACCCTCGTTGATGGCCATATGCTTTCTAATTTTTTTGGTTGCAAACAGCACACAACTGTTTACTCAGAATAAAATCTCATATGTGAAGGTGTATGGTAGAGCATACCTGTTTGATTTGTACTACCAGGAATTGGAGCCAGTTTCCTTCCTACCAGTAGTGCATAAAGACTAGCTGACTCTGTGTACCCAACCTGTTGCTGGGTATTCATGTTTTAAAGTTTTTGTTTTTTTTAAATCCTCACCTGAGGATATGTTTAGTGATTTTAAAGAGAGGGGAAGGGAGGGAGAGAGAGAGAAAAACAGAGAGAGAGAGAGGAACATCAATGTGAGAGAGAAACATTGGTTGCCTCCCACACCTGCCCTGACCAGGGATCGAACCTTAAACCTGGGTATGTGCCCTGACATGGGATCGAACCCCCAACCTTTTGTTGTACAGCACGTCACTCCAACCAACTGAGCCACCTAGTCAGGGCTGGATATTCATGGTTTTGAAAAGCTTCCTTGATATAGTTGGTGCAAATAGTATCACACTGCATTTTGCATTTTCTTGGTACTCTTCAATATGCTTATTGGTCATTTCTATTTTTTTATGATTTGACTCATCATTTTGGAGGTGAGGGTGGGCTTTTTTACATTTTTCTCTTGACCAGTCACATTGGGCAGTAACACAAAATTCCAGACAACATTGATTCCTTTGAGTATGGTGGTAGGCCACACTGTTTAATCCTAGATTCTGTAAGCCCATGAATAAGTGATGTTTGAGCACTTTGGACAGATTTTCAGTCTCTCATCTACATTTTTGTGTGACTATGAAATGATAGAAAGTTTAGATATAAAGGAGATGTGTCATGGTATCTGGTCTAATCTCCTATTAGAGAGATGAAACAGATCAAGAGAGGTTAAATTACTTGTTCAAAGTTGTGTGACAGTGAGAGAACATGGGAATGAACCCAAGTTGTCTGGAAACGTGCATATTGCTTTGTGCACCCACAAATGAATGTGTTACCCTTGACTTTTACAAAAGGTAACTTTAAGCTTTTTATTTTTTTCATTTGCTTTACCTTCAGCCATGTATACAATGAGAAAGGAGATAAATCCTAGGTTTAACCAAACCTCTGTGTAATGGCAGAATATTTAGATAAAAATTAGTAATCAGAGTGAGGAATGATTACACATTAAGTATTTACTTAACCAGTTTATTTAAACACAGATTTGGCAATAATGTTAACATGTTTTAAAACTTGGAATGCTGTTTATTAGTGTTTGAGGTGTTAACTAGAAGCAAATGTTATCTCATGAATTCTGTAAATAGTGTCGAGAATAGTTTAAAAGCGAGAGGTATTTGTAAATATTGTTAAGCATAAGAAAGGTATTTGTAAATATTGGGTATCTTTGGCCTTGCGGGAGAGATTTTGCAAATAAAAAACACTAGAATATTTGTGAAAGAGTAAACAAAATAAAGGAAATCTGTAATATGCTTGCTTAAACTTTGAACTTTTAACGTCAAATTTTCAATAAGAAATAGGTTTGACAAGGTTTAAACTTTAGGACAGGTGAAACAAGGATTATTGATTGTTAAAAATTAAGCTTCATTTCATTTTCTCCTTTTATCTTGTATCATTCTGATGACCAGTGAATTCTTCTTAAATGATTACCATTGTTTAACTTCTTTGCCAGAGTAAATCAACATTTGAAAAATAGCAATGGCATGCTGTATTTGTAGAGTTTATTAGTTCCCTTAAGAACCTTCTAACTGTTCAGTGGCCTTATGATATTTTGAATTTATTTACGTATTTTTTCCTTCCCAAGTTTAAGGGAGAAATATAAAAAAACATGGTTATATAATATATAACTATTATTCTATATTATTGTTTCCCCTAATTGACTGTGGGTTGGCAGATCTAATTGTCTGCTGTTATCTTTGAGAGGCTTCTGGTTCAATAGCTAAAAGCATGGGCTTTGAAGGCTGACTGCTCTGGCTTAAAACTTCAGTTTTTCCATTGCTGCCTTTGACTTCTTTCTTTTCTTTTTTTCCATCTCTTTCCTTCCTTTTTCTTCTTCCTTCTGTGTGGTGGGAGTTTTTTATTTTAGCTTTCTAAGCCTCAGTGTCATTACATGTAAAATGGCCATACATGTGTCACAGGGTTGTGCGGATTAACTGAGCTTGTGAAGTGATGTCTAGCACAAAGTAGGGTTTGATAATTATGTCAGGTTTCTCTTCTTTTTTTAAGCACTCAGTCATTACTTTGCAGGAATCATTTGTGAATTATATTTTGTTTGGTCAACGATGTAATTGAATAGATTTTGAGGCTAGATCCACATAAGAATACTTTTTGGAAGGCTCAAGAAAAGAAGGTAATTTCTCTCTCTCTCTCTCTCTCTATATATATATATATATATATGCAGACATATACATATATATAATGTATATTTATATTTACTCTGTATCTGCTGTTCCACTAGAGTAGACATTAGGACGAGGTATGCAACAGAAGCCCTGTCCCTGCTCTTTAGGAGTCTTGACTTAAGGAGACAGATAGTCCATAAACACAGTACATTCTGGATACCTGCATGGAAAGAATAGGGCAAGCATTAAGTGTTACAGAAGTTCAGAGAAAGTTGAAATCACCAAGAGCGGGAGTTGGGAGAAGGCTTTTAATGAAAGAGGTAGTTCTTGAGGAAGAGTAGAATCAAACATAAAAGAGAAGAGTGGCAAAGTTATTCTATGTAGGGAGAAGCTAAGCTGGTAAACAGGTTAGTGCGTATACTTAGTACACTTTTTTACATTCCTGGAGGCAGGTATAAGGTACCAGGCTGAAATTTAGGGGAGGGGATAGATGGGGGTGATTGCTGATTTGGGAGTTGTTTGCATGAAATTGTTTCCCAAAACCATGGGTGGATTAAGGTACTTGTAGATCAGAGGGTCTATGACCAAGACTATAGGAAGGCAGCAGTAGGAAGTAAAATCATTGAAGAAGCTAAGTGGGGTCCTATAAGACTGCAAGGAAAACCAGAATACAGGTGCCTCAGGAGAGGAGGGTTGTTAGAAATGGTTATAGTCTGGAAAGTTAAATGCCATAGGGAGGTAAAAGGGACTAGAAAGGGGCATTTTATTTTGGAGCATTTTAAAACTATTTTCGAAGCTCTTAGGAGACTGTTGTGAAACTGAGCCCAGTCTGCTTCAGAGCCTGTTTTTAACTTGCTGTGCAGAGTCAAGAAAGTGAATCTTCAATATGTTGGCACCATTTCTGAAGTTTTTCTCAGATAAACCTTTGCTATTTTTTAGCACCTTTGCCACATTTTATTACTTGTTTTGTTTTTGGCATTTAGTTTACTTTTGAAATGAATGCTTTATTTTCCCATGGAATTCTGACAATTTATACTCTGGGAGGAAAATTATTTAGAATTTATTTTGCAGTTCAAGCACTATTGTTAATATATATGTAAATGGCCTTGAAAATAAGGCTTGGGTGACATTTTATTTGTCAGGGTTATTTTGTTTTGTTTTTATAGTTAACTCTTGAATAAAGTGATAAAGTTGACAAAAAC